ACACACACACACACACACATACACACACATACACACACATACACACACACACACACACACAACACAACACACACACACACACACAACACACACACACACACACACACAACACACACACACACACACACACACACACACACACACACACACACACACACACATATATATATATATATATATATATATATATATATATATATATATATATATATATATATATACATATAAACATGCGTGTGGGGGGGGGTGCGTGCGTGTGCGTGTGTTGTGCGTGTGTCTGTGCGTATATATGTGCATTAGGTTCCGAATAAGACTGACCCCGACGCGCGGCCCGACGGGACCGGATCGCGCCTGCAGCCCGGCCTGCTGACGGCACCGGACCCGTCCTCACCGGGTAGTTCTCCAGCCGGCGACGGAGGGCGGCGGTGCTCGGCTCTGGCAGCTCCAGCTTCACGTCCATCTCCAGCGGACGCCGGGCGCACGACTTCAGGTACAGCGCGCACATATCGCTGGCGCTTAGCGGGCTGTTGCGCACGATGTACGTCAGGGACTCCTGTCGGCGGGGCGCGGTCGCGGGGTGGTAAGACGACCACCGTCAGACACGAGGCGACGGCTCGTGTGCACTGTCACAGGCATCACCGTAGAAAGGGTGTGCGGTGTAGATGAACGTGCAGCACGATGCAGAACCACGACAGACCAGTGCGTCGGAAACGTTGGCCTTGCGGTGCTTGTCCGGCAGCAAGTGCTACGGCTGGCTGCGTTTCTCTCGCCGATGCATTGGCACTCGACCTTTCGGCTTCCCCCATTGCAATGAACAGACATCCAGTGAGAGGTCAAGGAGGAATGGGAATGAGTGGTACACAGTGCATGCATTTGATAGTTGTGCAATTGTACACTAATCAGGTAACGACCATGTTTTGCAACACATCCAGCCTCAGATCGAATCTGAAACACCACACATCTGCTTTCCAACGCACTTTGCATACCAGTAATCCCACGAACCGTCTAAAGCGCACGTGTCGTCGTGCATGTCTAGCACCACGTGTGTGACTGCGGGCTCGTGCCGTGACCGCCGTCAGCAAGCCTGCGGCCAGGGGCAGCGCAGCAGGAGGGGGTAGGGGGTGGAGGGGTGGGGGGGGGGGCAGAAGGTGCAGTGGTCTTACCTGCCAGGGGGCAGGAGAAAGCGCTCTTCATTTATTAACATGCGTCTCGAACAAAACTACAAAATATGTGTACCTTGGTGAGATGAATTTTAAAACGTTTTGCACTTGACCCGTGTATTTCAGCCTTTTACGTGTCACGTCCTGTAGTAATAAAGTTGTTCTGAGAGATATGCACGGAAAATGTAGGAAATTATTACATCCACCGTATAATTGACGCACACAGAATTTCGTGGACTGACACAGCATTTCTAATATAGGCACGACTTCACAGACATTCATGATGTGGACAAACCTTCACAGACATACAGAGACCTACATAGACCTACGCAACTCTACACAGATCTGTACAAAACCACAGAACTGTACAGACCTACACATTCAGATCTATACAACAGACCTACGCCTACCTCTACAAACCTACACAGGCCTAAACGGACCTGCACATACATGTGCAGACTTACACAGGCTTCCACAGACATATACAGAACTGCACAGACTTACACAGACCCGCACAGACTTACACAGACTTATACAGGCTTCCGCATAAATACACAGGTCTATACAGACATATACAGACCTGCACACACCTGCACAGACTTACACAGGCTTCCACAGACATACACAGGCCTACACAGGCCTACACAGACCTGTACAGACCTGCATAGGCTTACACAGGCTACCATAGACAGACACAGACCCACACAGACTTACCGCCCAGCTGTCGATGTAGCCGACGCAGACCGTGCGTGCCACGGGCACCAGTCCGCAGAACAGCTTCGCCTTGCTGCGCAGCAGACTGCTGGAGCCAGTGAGCCGCACCAGGCCGACCACCAGACCGCCGACAGCTTTACAGCTGGAGCACCTGACCTTGTCGAACACTGCAACGAAGCCATAGCCGCGTCAAAGTGCGAAACGTCTGTTTCAACGGCTAAACGGGACCCCAGTCGGAACAGACAGCATGAGATGACATTCCTTGTGACGTTTGTTCTACTTAATCATAGCATGCTACTGTCCAGAGGCGGATCCAGAGGAGATGGATGCGGGCCCATGCCCCCTCCCCTCGCAAGCTCGCGCAACACGTTCTAAATGCATTTTAAATGATGGCATATTTTTTACTCCTTCATAACAAGCAAAGCAAAAGTCCGCACCGGTCATCAGCCATCGGCTGATGACGTCAGCCAGCCGGCTAGCTGTAAATAAGCTAGGAATCAAGTTTGTGTTTGATTTCAATTATATTTAGCAGCCTACTATAGTTTGTTTTGCGATGTCTCTCCGAAAACGTAGCCCCAAAATGACGCGATTCACAATGTTCTGGAGAAAATGCGTTAGCTCCATGTATTTGCACACGTAGTACGTCTAGTTTTCTATGGCTGCGCACAGAAACATGGGATTCTGCAAAAGATCATTTCAAGATTCTTAAAACTTAAAGGGAATGTTCCACATTTACAAGGGGGTTTGAACTGGAATAGCCATATTGAAGACCTTTCGATGCTGTTCACAATCCTACCCTTCTTAAGACCTAAGCCCTTCTTCTTTCTGAGCTACAAGCCCGCGAAAATAGAGACAGGTAAATTCGGGGAGAGTATTTCAAAATCACCTTGACATTCATGACGCTATATTAGCATCATTCAAATCCCGCTATTCCATAAGCCACGCAACGATCAAAGCCAAAAACCAATGTTGTCGAGGCGTTCATATCAAGCGCTCGTAAGAGCGATTTTCAGATATAACGACCGTCAACTGGCTCTCAATCATTGTTGTGCAAAGTACGATAACGTAATCAAACCACGACGCATTGGGAGCATACTTACTTAACAGAGAGTTGTGCTGTCTAGAGCGGTTTTTTCCTCTTAAAACGTATACCAATAGTTATATGTGAGCCTGTTTCATCATATCTGACGCTTGGTCCAATATCTTCAAATGTGAAACGTGCCGTTAATGGCCGGAGTGCGATGGTTTTGGCTTAAGGGGCCTGAAACTCTATGGGCACCACAATGTTGCGAGCCCCCTCCCCCTTTACGACATCCTGGACCCGCCCCTATAAGTGCCTGGTTGAAAAGCCTGCCTCACTGGTGTCTCGGTTGTGCCGCTTTGGTGCCAAATATGCCACAACATAACCGATCAGTGTGCGACACCTGTTTGTGACGAGTTCATTATAATATCGCGTTAAGCGTTGGCCCCTGTAATTGCAACTCGCTGGATACCAGATGCAAGCCACCGTCGTTGGCAAAGGCTGGTGGGTGAGTCGGGGAGCGCTGCTCTGGACCAAACGCTCCCTCGGTGTAACCCAGCATTCTGAGTAGCGGTCTACGGTAGCTACCCTGCTACCTCAGACTGCTACTCCGCTACCGGACTGAGGTAGCGGTAGTGGAGTAGGAGTCTGAGGTAGCGGCAAAATATGCATTATGCAGCTAGTGTGTACTCGGCATTCAGCACTCGCCGAAGTGTTCATACATCTGTCAGTTAAGTATGCTTGGTGTGCCATTGCTTCTCAGCATCATTCTCGGCTTAACGACGATGTCTGCGTGTTTAAAGGGAGTGCTCAACATTAAGATGGGGTTTTGAGCTGGAACTGCCATACGGAGACTTTTCAGTGCTGTTCACAATCTTACCCTCCTTCAAGCCTAAGCCCCTCTAGTTTCTGACCTATACGCCCGCGGAAATGGGGCGAGTATTTCAAGATCACCTTCGCATTTATTTTTTTGCATCGCATTCATGCTGTCATTATAACGTCATTCACATCCTACCATTCCATAAGCGATGTGGCTATCAAGACCAAAAAAGATAATTGTCGAGGCGTTCATATCTGGCGTTCGTGAGCACGATTTCCGGGTGTCACGGCCGTCGATTGACTTTCAATCGCAATACGATGACGTAATCAGACCATGACGCATTGAGTAGCCTGTTTACCAAACAGAAAACTGCGCTGTCTAGAGCAGTCTTTTCCACTTAAAAAGCATGATATTAGTTATAAGTGACCTTATTGCATCATACCAATGCTTGCTTCAGCATCTGCAAAAATGAAACATCCCTTAAATGTGGTGTCGGTCAGGTATGGTCCGGAAAACATCGTGCCTCCTGGCGCCACCTGGACCTGCCTGCGATGGGACCAGACAAAGCCTCGCCGTCGGCGGGTCTCGTCCAGTGGCGGCGAGCATTTTCGCAAGGGCTGGTAGCTCGTTACAACACCATCTCGCCCGGTATGAGGCGCCGGGTTGGGTCAGAGTCTGGTCCGGTCCGGCTGTGAGCGACTTCAGGGTCACCGACCTCGACTGAACAGCGACTGAATGCCATCATTTGTGGGCGTCTAACTGCTGTGTGACTATAACTCCCAACTACTAAATGTACCGTGCCCTCACTACTTTCAGTACAAGGTATAGGTGCATTTAATTATGTGTTGCTTGCATTGTCCGATTCCGTTCCCAACATTTTCAGAGTACAACGTTTCAACATAAGAGCCCAACGTTTTTACTTTGTGATGTTGCTGTGGTCATTTCCTTACATTTCGAAGTGTTGTGCCTGGCGTGATTTGAAATGTATATTTTGGACAATGCTGGTATCATTGACTCCCTTCGTCATGTGTTGGTAACATGTATTGATTTGGTTTCAAAACTGATGATCGCCAAAGATGCTGTTAGATTGCATCTTAAATCTCTTCTCACACCATTTAAGCTTACCTTCAAAAACATCCAAACGATCTTCAAATGTGCTGTAGGTAAGGCATGTCAAATTGCACCCCCCCCCCCCTCCCCTCCTCCCCCGATAACTGCATAAATTTACGCCTCCAATTGGCTCCAACTAAAGACAGCAGGCATGGCCATGCTCAATCCAGAAATGAGCTCTTACTGGGATAATCAAGGCTTTGGAATTACGGGACCTGAGATTTCATTGCACCAATCGGCACGCAGCTCGCCTTGGCACCAGTTAATGTTGGGTCGCCAGGATGTGTGTTATTGTGTCATCACAGCTCACCGTCTCCGGGGCCCCAGGAGCGGCCAGCACACAGATGCGACAAGAGCAACGGTCTTGTGGAAACAAATGTTGGCTTCAGCTAGTACTCCCGTTTATAGCTTGTTAACTATACGCGGGAGTTTCTTATAGACAAAATTCGTTTCCTTGAACCTATTGGGACTTTTTCGCGGACGTGGTGTATTCTTTAATTGAGAACGTGTGGCATCAGCCACAAGCCTGGCTTGGTTTCCGTGTATCCTTTCGTTAAATTGAGAACGTTTGGCAGTAGCGGCAAGCCTCGCTTGATTTCCTGGCATCTTTTCGTTTAATTGAGAACATGTGGCACTCCGGCAAACCTCGCCTGGGTTTCCGGATATCCATTCTCACAGAAAACAAGGACCATTTTAACACGGCTACGCTCACACGAGTAGGCATTAAAAGATAAACGCACCGCTCTCCGCATTTGTCATATAAGTACTGCTTTTTTGGTAACTATAGGGTGCGCCAAATTCTGGGCAAGGGCTTAAAATACACTTCTGTGTTAAATCTTCCACCTCAGTCTGCGCCCGACTGCGACCCCAATGGAAGGTGTGCCGGTTACCTGCGCCCAACCGTGACCCCGGTGGTAGGTGTGCCGGTCACCTGCGCCCGACTGCGACCCCGGTGGTAGGTGTGCCGGTCACCTGTGCCCAACCGTGACCCCGGTGGAAGCTGTGCCGGTCACCTGCGCCCAACCGTGACCCCAGTGGAAGCTGTGCCCGTCACCTGCGCCCAACCGTGACCCCGGTGGAGGCTGTGCCGGTCACCTGCGCCCAACCGTGACCCCAGTGGAAGCTGTGCCGGTCACCTGCGCCCAACCGTAACCCCGGTGGAAGCTGTGCCGGTCACCTGCGCCCAACTGGGACCCCGGTGGTAGGTGTGCCGGTCACCTGCGCCCGACTGCGACCCCGGTGGTAGGTGTGCCGGTCACCTGCGCCCAACCGCGACCCCGGTGGTAGGTGTGCCGGTCACCTGCGCCCGACTGCGACCCCGGTGGAAGCTGTGCCGGTCACCTGCGCCCAACCGTGACCCCGGTGGAAGGTGTGCCGGCCACCTGTGCGCCGCCCCTCCGCTGTTACGATGGCTTACTGTGGTGCACCCCGGGCAATGACAAAGGACATGATTTATGAGTCGGGGAAAACAGCTGCCGGCATTTCATACCGCCACATTGTAAACCTTGAGCCTCGATAGCATACACCAGCCACGCAAAAGGATATCCGTTTGTTCCTTTGATTTGAGTCGATATTTTTCACATGTCCTATCCAGGTTTAACAGATAGGCAGCTTATGTTTCGTTACGAACTGCACAATGAACCTCATGCATGATAGCATGGTGGTGTGCTGCCCCATTCATGTCAACTTCTCTGCTGCTGTTAATTTTGTCTATGGAGCCTGTTACCCTGCCTATGGAGCCTGCACCCTCTGCACTGGAAAGGATAAGTCTTATTGGTGTATCGTCCTATTACATAAAGATCGCATCCATATACGGACGGAACGCATCGTCCTTGGGCTTAGAGCTACTGGCATGGGGCGCAACCCACCTAGTCATTTAAATTTACGGGTGGGACCTTTCAGGGATGTGGCTAACCTATCGGAGGTTAGACGGCCCCGGAAAGTTAGTAAGCGACACTGACAGAGTGGCATGCTGAGAAAACACAAAACAATGCCGGATGATGTTGCGGTTAAGGTACACAGGGTTGACCCAGGTCACCCGTGGCTGACCCCGTCCCTATCCCTCTCCCCAACAGCCAATCACATGTGCCGCCACCAATAGGTATCGGCTCCCGGAATATGTATTCTAATTATCGATATGTCAATTTATCGTTTGTTCAAAATTGTGTTCACCAGATTATTCTACAGGCCACGTCATTAACGCTATTGTGGGTCAGCACCGAATCTAGAGGCAGCTCGCTTTCGCATAACTTGATATGCAGTGAAATTCCTCATGGCGATTTGTTCATGTACGTTGTGTGAGATGATAAAATGTCAAACCAGACGGAGCTGACCTCGTTATAAGCAGGCGCGGATCTAGCCTGGAGTTTGGGGGGGGGGGGGCAAAACTGTTCGTCGCCAGCTGACTGGTGCGGGATCCGAGGTCCAGTGCATGGTGCCTCTCGCGAGTACCTAGTAGTGACACCATTCAAAACCGAAAAAAAACACCGAAATGCTTTTGGATCTTAAACAGAAGTTAAAACAAAACAGTTAAAGCAGTTAACGTTAAGACAGACGGTAAGTAGACGAAACTTGTATGAAGTTCTCCGAATGTTTTGGGGGGGGGGCAAAACATACCCTCAGGGGTTTTGGGGGCCATAGCCCGGTAGCCTCCCCCAGGATCCGTCTATGGTTATAAGTTACCTTAGGTTAGCGCTATGTCAATTTACCCAACACGTGCGGTAGTGGACACACGTGGCCGTCACCATTGTGTTGCTTTTTCCTCAGAGAAGAGTGGGGTAATGGCAGACGGGCGGTAATGCCGGGAGAGAGACGCCGACAGCAGTACGCGCAGCGCATAGCTACCTGCCGCTACCTTTAATTTCTCGTCGCCAGCTGTTCCCTTAATCTGCTCTTCAAAGCAATCATCTGCCGACCTTCACCGCACTTTGTGAAATGGTCGCAGCGCTTTGTTTTTTGAATGTTTGTTTTAGATTTATGAATGCTTCGTTGCACGTTTTTCGTTGAATAAAGGGTGGCTACCTAGGTATGCTTTTCAGGCACTAAGCGGCTGTTGAAAGGGGACAAAACAGCTTGTCAATTTCCCGCTGAAAAGGGACAAAACAGCGTGTCAATTTCAGTTGACTACTTGCACTTGTGCTTGCTTTGATGGGTTTTCATTTTTCTTTATTTATAGGGTGTCTTCGTCTTCAGCACGTTTTTCCCCTTTTCACCTGGTCGACGTTAGGAATATCCGTTTTGGTAGCCCTGGGGAGTTTTTGTTGTTAACATACGCACGCGTACCATACCATGGTGCTTCCTGAGCACGGTGGGCAAATACGAGGCATGCTTCACGTTGCAATCCAGTAATGACACATGAATTTGACGAGACGTTGGAGCGCTGGGGTCTGTCACGATGTATCAGTGAGTGTTCCGTCGTTTGGTGGAACATCCCATTGATTTGACGTGACTCAGCGGCGACCAAAGCACTGGTTCTGTTTGAATGTCATCTTGATGTCAATGAGAGCGTCAACACTATATAACGCGCAAAACGCAAAACAGGCGATATAAATACTAACTCCGCGTTTTTCCGCGCATCATCCATTCTCATCTCTATGTCACTTTACTCTCAACTCATGATATGCTTATTAAGTAAAGCGCTTATGCGGAGACCGATGCAGCAATGTGTTATCTCGTTTAGATTGTTTCGTCCCTCCCGTGCTTTGTAGTTTGTGACAATTTAAGCTTGATTGTTGAGGTACAACCTGTGTTTTCAGCTCGGTGATGGGATATACGCGTAACAGATGAGATCCGGCGAAACAGCATTTGGCTTAGCATGCATCATGTCATGAATATATGGATACATACATATATATATGTATATTACGTACCCCCTATATATATATATATATATATATATATATATATATATATATATATATGGCGGTGCGCGCGCGTGCGTGCGTGCGTGCGTGTGTGTGTGTGTGTGTGTGTGTGTGTGTGTGTGTGTGTGTGTGTGTGTGTGTGTGTGTGTGTGTGTGTGTGTGTGTGTGTGTGTGTGTGTGTGTGTGTGTGTGTGTGTGTGTGTGTGTGTGTGTGTGTGTGTGTGTGTGTGTGTGTGTGTGTGTGTGTGTGTATGTGTGTGGTGTGTGTGTGTGTGTGTGTGTGTGTGTGTGTGTGTGTGTGTGTGTGTGTGTGTGTGTGTGTGTGTGTGTGTGTGTGTGTGTGTGTGTGTGTGTGTGCACGTTGATACAACTGAATTACCTACTCCAAAGGTATGAAACGAGTAAGGATGGATGCAAAGTTGCTTGGTAACTACCGATATCATAACACCATCAGTTATGGACATCTGTAGGTAGGGACAACTTCCCTATCTTTTGAGAATAAGTATAGCGCTCGTGGCGTAAAATGACATCAACATTTAAAAATGTTTCGCTATCACTCCAGTTTTTTACCTTTTGACCCCTGGTGAAAATACTACTGTCTGATCAAAGTGAGTCTATGTATCAGTTCAGTAGCGTTTTGAGATACCCCGAGTTTAATTGTGGAGAACGCGAGTGGCCTGACGTTTAAGGCCGCTAGCCCCGAGTACGGCGTTGGGTCTCCCATGTAGGACCGGCACCGCAGATTCCTGAGCGGGCGGCGGGCACACTGTAGCCATTGTTCTCTAGGTCCAGACAGCCTGTATGCTCGCCGACAGGGACGTCCGCGCATGCTGAGCACATCGTGATCTGCCGGGCGCAATGGTGTCTGGCGCAAGGGGCAGGCGGCGCGCGCGGAATTCCTGAAACGGCGCGGGCGGGCGCCGGATTCGACACCGGTGCTGCGGCGCTGGGGCGCCGCGGGATAAGCAGATGCGGGCGCGCGCGAGCTGTCTGGCACCCGTCACCCGGCAGATAACGCGGCACGGGTGCAGGGTCTCAGCTGCTCATGGGTGTGACCAACTGGAGTCCTTTCAGCTATAAAGTTGTAAATTACCGACACAGGTGGGGAGATAGGAGCACACATGTGTGGAGCCAGTGTATTCCATGGAAAGGAACAGAACGTGGCTTTAATGAAGTAAATAAAAAGGCGTTTTTCTTTGCTGAAAAGTCACGAAAAGTCACAGAGACACGCGGTTAAATGCATACTATTTCCCCCTTACTTGCACCTGCAAGTTAACGGAAAGGATAACTGCTCATTCTCCCCGTGACATCATTGGCTTTAATACGCATAAGTTCCTGGCTTCTTATGGTGACGCCTCTCCGCCGTGGGACTGGGCGGTCCCGCATACGGTGACCAGCTGACCCCTTGCGCCCGCGGGTCGGGGCACCCTACACGTGTGCGCTGATGATTGTCTGCGACGAACCCCCTCTGTGCGGAGCGCGAAAGCATGCTGCTCTATAGGATGGCGTGTCGTTCAATCCGGCTCCTGTACACAATATACACCTGTTATAAACAGCGTATTCTTACCTTTGCATGATACTGCATAAATGTATCGGCATGATTTTGTTGCTCATTACGTTATAGTTCTTGCTGTCAATGAATCGTCAGCCGACATGCATACCTTACAACTGATTTTGGTACATAAATCTCTTGGCCACGCGTCTGATTACGAAAACAAAAAATGCTTCAGTTTTTCATCAGTCACATGCATTGCCAACCAAACGCACGCACGCATGCACGCATGCACGCTGCACGTGCTGAAAGTGAAGTTAGATAAAGTACGAGATTCTGAAGTCTCCAGTCTCCAGAAAACGTCATTATGTGGAACAAGACCCGAAGCGTCAGCTAATATTTTTTCCGGGATATTCACCGCTGTTTGGGGAGCACCTGCGGAGGCAGGCGGCGTGTCTAAAGGACAGCAGATAAAGAAAGCACTGTCAATGATCAATGCGTACTTTTTAACGCGCTGGCGCGTTCCTGTTAGCTATATTGTTTTTGTCGCTGTTCTGGCTTCACGGTTGATATGGGTATCAAAAAGCACGTAAACTTCAGCAAATGATATCGAGAACAAGCGTAAAATAAATATGTCCTTTCCCGCCCAACAATGCCGTGGCTCGAGGCGCACGCCGACAGAAGGTTTCATGACGCAAGCTGTAGGAGCGACAATGGAGTTACTAAGCTGGATGAAGGCATAAGCAGGCCTGATCGGGACCCGGAGCTGAGATAGCACGGAGGCACAGGTGGCTGGCGCCAGGCAGCACGGAGTTACGGGCGACTGGCGCCATGCAGAACGGCACATTTCACCGGATCGAGAGCAGGGCGCTGGAGACACGACTGTCCCGCAGCTGACACCTTGGGCTGCGCTACGCTGCATCCAGGAGCCGAATCGTCGCACGGCAGAGCTGGAGACTTCCAGGCATCTGGCAGCGGGCACGTATGGGCTGTGGCTGTTCGAGTTATGTAAATCACTCCCTTTCCCGATCGAAGGCCACTCTTATGATAAGTGTACGCAGTCCCTCATTATAAACAAACTCCGCCACTGACTGCTGATCCCCACCATGTCGAGCCGGAGCGGAGTGTGCAGAGGGCAGGCATCACGACAGGTGCGTCTGGGCGCCGCAGGGCGGGACAAGTCCGTCCCATTATCTGCACTCACGTTTGCCTGCGGTGGCTGTGCTGGAGGCGGCCAGCAGCAGCACCAGCAGCGGCACCAGCAACGTCACGATCCTCATGGTGTCCGGCCGGCTCTTGGCCACGAGGTCCTGACGTGGTGCAGTCTCGCGGCACAGTCACGGTCAACGGTGCTCCCGGAGGCCGGGTCCCGGGGGCACGTCCACGGTCCTCGCCGCGGCCGCGCCGTCTGCCGCCGCGTCTCCGGAGCGGCGCGTGTCACCGTGCCCGCGCGGCGAAGCCTGGTCACCACACCCGTGCCGCTGCAGCGCGACCGCCGCCTCGTCCCGAGCGCCGCGTGTCGCGTCTGACAGCTCCACCCGGCTCGTGCGGCCGGAGCCTCCTTCCCTGCCGCGACTGGACAGACTGTGGCGCCGCCGCCGCCTGTGCGGCCGGCGCGCAACCGGGGCAGCTCCAAGGTCGCCCGCGCGCTCTGCGAAGCCCTTCCACGCTGATGCAGCGGCCGGGGGACTGAGGCCAGGTGCGTGCTATCGTGTGCGGGGCAGACTCGCCCCACATGCCGTGTACGCGGTCTCGCTCCCCAGTTCGGTAGTACCGCACGTCCCCAATTTACAGCTGGAATCGGGTTGGAGGATTACGGCGCTCGTAACTCAGTGGCTACGTGGGGCAATACCAACCCACCGGCCGCACGCTGTCATCACAGTGGTGTGTCAAGAGCTCACAGATCAACCCACGCACATGTGGCGCGTTTGGCTCGGTGCCAAACGACAGCTGACACACCTGGGATGACAAGTGTGGTCCCCGCCCGTCCGTGACATGTCCGGTTGGTGTTCGCGGTCTGTACTGTGAAGGCACTGATTGGTGGCTGTACGACCCCCGCCTGACCCGCACGGGCTGGTGGTTGTCCACTTCTTTTCGTCACCGTCATCCCTTCATCACGCCGACTGTCGGCACGCGTGATACAGTTTTCGAGACCGTCTTCTGTTTGAAACCGTTCATACCTTGCGGTGTTTCTAGTGAAAAATTGTAGGTCATGTGTGGCGTTGCACCTTTCGGATACATCCGCCTGCGTAGGGGTTTCCAACTTGGGAAGTTGCTTGACGTAAGAAAATGAGCTTCAGCCACCTGGACAGGAACATTCATCCATTGTTATCTGTAAGGCTCCAGTTTTGAAACATCTTGCGCGGCGAGCTGTTCCAACAACCACGGCCTATGCCGCTCAATAGAGCGGCAATGGATGTCAGCACGCACAAATTTAAGCAAAATACTCTCTTTTATTGCAGATCACAAATTGTTACAGTCTGCACCATCCCACGACCAAACAAAGTGCGCGGACGAAGCGATATCTTCTTTGAGAACTGGCTACAGCATGCGGCGGGCCGGGTCAGCCATTCAGAACACTCCGCGACGCACGGGAGCAATCGCAAACAAATAACGCAGGCGTCAAGCTACGGAAATACCAAATATACGATAATTGCACGGCACCGATCACAACGTGAGCAGATCTCGATCCCCGAGTGTGAGCGGAAGGCCGCAGCGGGAGCAGGCGTGCAACGCTCGACAGTCTGAGGACATAAGACGCCCGACCCTCCGGATTAGTGCTGCCGCCGCCGCCCGCCGCCGGGCAGCGGCCAGCGAGCAGTGCGCGCCCGGCAGCCGGCCCTCCCTGCAACGGCCGTCGTGCCGCGTCCCTTCCGCCCCTCCTAGCTAGCAACAGCACCTCTAGCAAGTCACTCCGTCAAAATAGCAACAATTAGGCCAGCCATCCGCCCTGTGCCGCGCGATCGTCGTAATCGTCGCCGCCCGCCCGTGGAGTCCCGCGAAGCTTGATCAGCCGGCGCGCGGCGGAAGCAGCCGGCGGCGGGCGGCCAGCGACGCCACCCACCGCGCAGCACGCCGCAGCGCCGCACAGACCGACACCGTACCCCGGGGTCGACCGTGCCGGGACAGTCCGCGTCGCCCGTCTGAGGACAGCGGCGCGGCTCAGCGCTCCTGGCGGCGCCGACTCGCGGGCCCGCGCGGCGACGCGCCCCGGCCCCGCCAACGAGATGTGCGGCGTTATGTGGAGACGGAAAGGCAGGTACAAGTTGGACCCGGCCGCAGAGACGGAGCGCGAGCCGGACGGAGACGGAGCGGCTGTGGCCGGGCACTGCCGACCGTCTGCCCAGTGTCGGGCGGGGCAGGTGACACCCCCGCCGCCCACGGCGAGTGGCGGGGCCGCGT